CCACCAGACGTTCTAAGTCATGCTGAAGAGCCACTCGGTCTTCGTCACACTCAATAGGTTTCCATATCTTAAGATCATCAGCGAATAACAGACTTGCCGACTGTAGGACCTAGATCAGATCATTCACATGTAGTAGAAACAGAACTGGACCCAAAACCGTTCCCTGAGGTACGCCACTAGGTGACGTATACCAGTCAGTGGTCGTTGTAGCCCTGCAGTTTTTTTTATCAGTTCAGTGTGGTCTACCCTATCGAACGCCTTACTAAAGTCCACGAATATAGCATCAACAACACTGTGGGAACTTCGCCTGGCCATCGTGATCTGCGTGCACCTATTTAGAAGCCCTTCAAGAAATGGTGCACATTCTGTCATTCCCTAGCCAGACTGCCTAGCTAAATTTCGTCTGTCGTTGCCCGATGGGCTAAAGTCCGGGCAAGGTTCGCAAAAAACACTGCATCAACCTCTCCTCTCTGATAGAGCCTTCGACATGATTGTCAGATTTGTTTATTTTGATACTGTAGGGACTGAGGTCTTGACCGTTTACCTTATGGACATGGAGCTTCTTTGCACGGATACCAGTCTAACTGGTTGGTAGTTACACATCCAACAGATGCCGATGTGGTAGTAGGAACAGGCACGGACACCTGGAAGCGTTTGCGGGTATCCATAACGCGTTAGATGGTCGTATGTATTTGCACTCACATTGATATCACTAACTGACGAGCCGAGTTATCATGCCCACAACTTTATGGTAAGCGTCATTGCATCATCATCCAAGAGACCGCCTACGCGCATCTTCGCATGGGTTCGAGATGGCCCAGTGGACACAAACAGCCGTGCACTCTGAAACTATGTGTATCTTCCGAAGTGAACCGTGCCTTCAGATGCAATGTGATCTTTGTCTGTGGTTGGTTAGGATCCAGTGATGGCTCACTCGTTGGAGCGCTAATTTACTGACCGGAAGGTTCGTGGTTCGAACCCGGTCTCTGCCTCTGGACTTCATCTAGGCTTGGGCAACCTGGCAGTATCATGGCCTTGTGATATAGCAGATAAGCACCGAGGGATGTCTTTTATGCCAAAACTATATGCTTGATAAGTACACACTATGAGAACAGTGTCACGATGGCTTGTGTATCATGCGCGGACACTAAAGTTACTGCCCGGTCATACCCCTTGGAGAATGCTAAGTTGGACATTCACCTCTCACAATACATCTGCGATGCGGCAACATCTTCGACGTACGATGTATGTTAGGTCATTGTGAAAAGAACTCTCTTTGGGATCTTTAGTGCCCTTTACACTGGTTGGCGAAACTCACCAAATATACGGCGCTAGTTGTAGCTCAGGCTAACGTTCGAGTAAGTTGCGAATAGTGGTAAGCCCTTATTGTGTATGAAGGCACGGGAAAAAACCCGAAGTATGGTCATAATAGGGACATACACTGGAAGGGACGGAACATGCGAGTCTGCTACAAGATTTTAGAGCGAGAAGTGATGTAATCCAACACGTGGTTATATCCGGCCATTTGCGATAGGCGTCAACTATGGTAAGATACTGCTGACTGTTAATCTGTTCAGAAAAATCAATATATAGACGCGACCAAGGGTTAGTGGGTACATGCCACGAATATAACTGGGTCTTGGGCGGCGATTTTGTAGAACACTGACATTTTAAACGGGATTGTACAAGTTCTAGCTGTTTGTCCATACGTCGCCAGTGCATTGCTTCAAAGGACAAGTCGTCGCACTAGTCCCCTTCTAGTCTCCTAACCGAAAGAATTCTAGTCAGACCACCAAACCGGTATGGGAGAATACAAGTGTTACACAGACACCCCAGTGCAGTCGGTTGTGGACACGTACGAACCGTCAATTCGTGGTAAGATCGTTTCTTCCAACAGAAATCTGGATGTGGTGGTGCATGCAAGTCGTTCACATCGATGTAAATCGGAAGTAGTAAGACCGATGGTGGAGCGCCAAACAACCATATACTGATCGTTTTCGAAAAAGTTTGGTGACAATCGGCAGATTTATTGCTGGGCAACGTTTCGCTTAGTAAGACACAGGTTTACGGACAACGCAGTAAGCGGATATATAAAAATAATGATAACGATAATGATAATAATCGTTCAGCTGTAGCATTCCTCCTCCTACGCCACCCGAAGGGCACGCGAGGGCTGGGATACTGCCAGGTTTCCAAAGCCTAGACAGGAGCAATCGAGACGCAGAGGTTGGGTTGGAATCAGGGACCTTCCGGTCAGTAAATTCCTGTTTCAACCACTGAGCCATCTCAAGCCCATGCGAAGATGCGCGTAGGCGGTCTCTTGGGTGATAATGCAATGACGCTTACCATAAAGTTGTGGGCATGATAACTCGGCTCGTCAGTTAGTGATATCAATGTGAGTGCAAATACATACGACCATCTAACGCGTTATGGATACCCGCAAACGCTTCCAGGTGTCCGTGCCTGTTCCTACTACCACATCGGCATCTGTTGGATGTGTAACTACCAACCAGTTAGCCTATGATATTGCGGCCGTGGCGGCAAGTGAAGGTGGTGGGCCTCGTTGCCCAAAGTTAAGTACGAATTCCAGGTTGCGCAGTAAGTGTGGAGAGACGTTCAGTTGTGGTATCCTTTCGGTGCCTAGTTGCCACGCCACTCAAAGGAAGCACAAGGGCTAAGATACTGCAAAGTTGCCCAAGCCTAGACAGGCGCATTAGAGAGGCAGATATCGGGTTCGAACCGCGGACCTTTCGGTCAATAAATTCGCGCTCTAACCACCGACCCATCTCGCATCGCAGCGGCGGAAACGGCAGATTAATGAAATTTTAAAAGCTCCACAAAATCATCTGTTGATTAAGTTTCTGCAGTATGCCAGTTCAAGCTGACATGCTCACAACTCCGGGGTAACTATCATTGCATTACCACGCAAGAGACGGTCCACATACATCTCCGCTCGTTGCATTGGGATCCATGGATCGCAATTCATGAGCGAACAATTTTGTCTATCGCTCGAATTCTTGTTGGTATGTAGGGCAGCGGATTTCCATCATCCAGTAGGCACCAAACGGAGTTGGATCTGTTGGTAAAGTGGGGAGATTTCGTCCTTTAATTGAAGCCAGTCTATGCTGAAAAAAAACAAATCTCACACTACCAACAATCTGTAAGTAGCTCGGTGGAAGAATAAATTTCACCCGACGAGTGAAACTTCCATCTTAGAAGTTGCTCTAGGAGCCAGCCTACACGTGTGACCGCGTGATGTGAATCCGGTGATTGAAGGATGGGTGGCGCGATATCCTGTCTAAGTGTGACTTAATCACACTGCTGATCAGCCACTGGTGGCCGAACGGTTAAATTTTCAAACTACTACCCAGGATGTCGCGGGTTCGAGACTCCGGAGTTTCGTGAGATGCGCACTGCTGATGATTCCCAATAGACAATGGGATCTTCCCCGTTAATTATGGACGACATGGAATACATTTATTCTGTTCAGGACGGTAACCTTCATTTTCAGAGGTCAATATTCGAGCGATTACGGTCGTCTTTGAGGTTCATTTAGCTAAAACGCATGTTTGGAAACTTCAGTAGTGGGAAACACTTGTGTATATCCTGCGGATAGTCGTGTGGCGAATTTTAATTTCGTCCTTTTCGACAGTTCTGAATGTTATTTGTGACTAATTCAGTTATACATCAGGTTGTCTACATGTATTCTTGGTCGATTTGCGTCGGGCGGCTTCTATCCCAGCCCATTATCTGAGTCTTCTTCAACTTCTGGAGCTCCGTTTGCGTTTATTCTCATGAGACCTCGGGCACACGTCCACTTTTGTAATGTTGAACATTTTGATTCCGACCAGTTATCAATTTACTGCGGGCTTGTACACCCCTGGCAGCACAAACAAACCCTCTAGCTTATTGAAGAAAATGTCTCGAATTTTGACACCCATCCGTGTTTTTATTTCAGGTCTCGGGTTCGACTAATTGACTTCGATGAATGATCGCTTGCAATATGTACGATATTTTTACTGTGATGATGATGATGAAAAATACACTTTGGCCTTTGTGTTTTTTGACTTGTTCCCGATTCACAGGGGGGGGGGGGTTCTGATCTGCAGTACAGTAACCGTTCTAAAAAACCTAGACTTCTAATCCGGCCCTGTTACTCGACTAGTGTTTCCAGTCAGTCACTCATCGATAACACAGAATGACTAATACAGAGACTCGAAATTCAAGCTGAGAATAAGAATGGAGGCTATCAAAACGTGATTTCTCCAACCTTTTGGATCAGGCCAGACTGACCATTGTTTGAAATGGCTTCTGCTGGCACTACAAGTCTGTTCAGGTACACCTGAAGGACTAGATGAAGTTGGGTGCGGAAGACATTCTCAAGGTTAGTTTGATAGAGGTATATTCCTCATCGGGACAATAACCATGATTGCAAAGCTTTTTTCTAAATATATGGAATGCCTCTGTCGACTTCACCCTTGTAAGTGTGAGAGAAGACTTCTTGTACGCCAGTCCGGCTGATCCCTGCTTTGGTACTGAAGAAACTGCTCAGGGTAGTTTTCGGTCACTAGCATTGTCGTGAGAAGCTGCAAGTGTGTCTGGCTTGTCGGTTGTATCTATTCTCAAGATCATAAAACATACGGGCTAGGACAGGAACTCAAGTTTTAATACTGCTGAGCTCAATTAGGTTTGCGGTAGACAGGTCGGCTTACTGTCCTATGTGATCGCCAGGAGGTCAGACTGTTCACGACATCGAGTTCGCAAGTAGAACCGCGACGTAAACCAATCTGAATAAGGTTGAATGTCTTGTCCATCATCTACAGAACGAAAATGAATACCGCTCACATAGAGCTTACCCATCCGACTGGGATGCTGCATCGCGGTTCTCCGTATTTTCGCATATGCCGGCTAACGGGAACAAGCGGATTAGAGCTACTCTACTGATCGATCTGTCGCCGCTCTGAGCCGTAGAAACGGGGTTTCACATTACGTGTGAGAACTCAGATAGTAGGAGCCGCAGAGTGAGTTGGCCCGTAAAATCCTACGGGCTCATCGGCGTTAGCAAACGATAACTGAAACCAGCAAAATTGAACGCCAGTTCATGTCGAACGGGAAGTATAAACCGGAACATTTGGGAAAATTTGACCGACCGCAGTCTACTCATCGACTGCCGCGTGCTTTCTACATTCCGATTATCCAGCTGACTTACTCATCATTTGGAACTGTTGAAAAGTGTCGCTGTCCTCAACTGGCTCACGGCCTTCGCTGTTACTCCGTCCCGTTATAGATTGATTGTATAACCGTGTTTTGACCGTTTTTCGGTTTCTCATGCGGGTAGTTATTCTGGCCCCGACCTAAAGCTGCCACCTTGACGTGGTGGTCGGGCTTCAGTGCTGCAACGATCCTGCGGGCTACACTGGCTGGAACTTCGTTCCACAAGGTGCAACCATGCCAGGAAGGCCAAAATGATGATGAGTTATTCTGGCTGACAAGATTCAGGCCAGCTGATTGGGTTTTATGGGTTGGTCGAAGCTTAGGGCACATCGAGAATCAGCCAGCAACATATATCATTCACGACGAACTAAATCACTATGAAGTGGGGTTTTTTAGACGCACGACCTAGATGGAGACGTCGCACGATTCGGTTCCAGGCGTTTTACGGTTGAATGTGATCAACCTGCTTTTCCAGCAAGACCCCTGCAGCTTTCATATGAAACTAGCGAAACTTTCCGAGGAACCAAATTTTTACTTCCCAGGAGTACTGCGAGGTGCATCATCAAGGAGAAAGTACGAGAACACGCAAAAACCTTATACGGTGGTCGTAGCTACCAAACTTAGATCGGTTTACTGATTGAATGGTCGAGCCGCTCTTGATGCAGGGCTGATAGGCATCTAGAAATTGAGGAGGAATAAAAGCTGCCAAAGTTGTGTGCCACCTGATGACGTATGCAGAGATGTAATGCTAGATACCAGTGGTGACTCCGGCAAACCTGAGGTTGAAGCCAGGATCCCTACATCACAGTAAGGCGGTCATTTTTTATATTTAAGTGGATGATACAACTCCTGGAAACCTTCGGAAGGTGAAATTTGACTTCAACACTTAGCATCCGTTCACTTGAAAGGTTTCGATTCCTTTAGATTACGATAACAGATCTGCGTTGACATGGCGGTTCAACACAGTTCGTCTCTCGAATGGGTTTGTCTGGATCACTCAACAACTCATTAGCTAGCCCGAGTATTTATCGACCCTTTATTGTCAAATAGTCTTGTGGCCAATTGTACAGGTATTGATAGGAAAGTGCTTGCGCATAAAACTCCCCTATTCTGTACGACAGATGTAACAGCTATGGTTGTTCGCTAAACCTGGTAATTTGTTTGCGAACGTTCCATTTCTAATCGAGGTGATGTCATCAGTGCGCTGTTCGGAAACGGATTCGAGCGTAGCGATGCGCCAGTGGTTGTAAAAGCATTATGCATAGGGAAGCCAAATTCGCCGGTGGTACAAAAATGGTTATGCAGTGCGCATGTCGAAAGCTGGTTTTCTTAAAAGTACTTGTCCCCTTAATAAGAGTGTTCACGTTGACAGTACTTTTTCAGGAACAAAGAAGGCTTTCACGTTGACAGTACTTTTTCAGGAACAAAGGCTTCTGTTGAAGGAGTGAAAGCGAGTGCAAATATTTGGGAGGGCAGTCACAAAATGAAGAGCACCAAGGCTTTCCTAACTGTTGATCCGGGGCGGATCTAATGTTCGAGTACAACTCGCGCAAGGGCAGACAGTGCCTCACAGAGTATGTGGTCTGTTAATCGACAGTGTTACGTAGCCGTTGTTATGAATGTTCTGACGAGTGTATACACAGTTGTGCTTCCCTTCTGCTCCTAAAATTGCTGTCGCACACACACATTTGTAGATACCATTCGGCGTGACCAGAACAGGTTGGTTGTCTTGTACAAAAAAATGAGTATTCTTGATGTCCTGTGGATAAATATCGGGTCAGTTGCTTAAAAAGTGCGTCCAACAACGGTTGAAATGTCACCATCCTTAAGCAATAACCATATACCGGCTCCACTGTAAGGGACTAGGAAGTTGCTACTTGCAAGTAGTAGGTACTTGTGCTCCGTAATTCTCACTTGTTTACTACGCGCAGACAACTGTAGTTCTCATGCGTTTGCTTCGGCATCAACCAGTATGATGTGAGAACACGAACCACTGGACTGTTTTCACAAACACTGAGGGTGACATCAATAGGGAAGCACCAGAAGAGCAACATGTAACAGCCGCCAGGGTTTTCAGTGAATTACCGAAAATTTGACACGTTTCAAACAACCAAACGGTACAAGAAGTTTTGCGTATTTGCCATTTCTGAAACGTCTGTGTATAACCTCTACACGAAAACCGAAATAGGAATCGTTCCCGGAAACGTTTCGTAACAATCAGTAGATTAGGCCCTGGTACGTTTCCCTAACTAGTGGTCCAAAAAGCTTCTCCACTGCTAAATGTAGAGCCCATTTCTGGAGTTTGCCGGGAAAGTTTAATGAAAATCTGCAGGCGCGAGATCTGAATTTGCTTGCGTAGTTCGAAAATCGAGGACTGGAACACGCCACCGATAGCTGATGCTGACGTCATGCTTCTGACTGCAAGGCCGTTGCGTCGCAACGGCATCCACTAAGTCTGAATCTAGCACCACTGAGAAACAACTGCGATGAGCCAAGTCGCCTGGCCTGTGCACTGAAATCTGCTAATATGATTATATAACGACAGTGAATCGAGTCTACAATTCGTTTGTACGTAAACATACACGACAAGGAAACAGCGTTCAATAGTTCGAACGGTAGGGGTTCTTGTCGGAGTAGAAATTCGAACAGCACAAATTAGGCTATTTACCTGTATCCAGTCGAGAAATGAATCTCGGCACGTCAACTTAAGGCTACACCAACACCGACGCAAACCGCTACGCCAGTCTGCATCAATCGAAGTTCGTGGTCTGTAACGTCTACATAGAGAATACCGTAGACCCAACAGCTGTATTTGAATCCTGTATTTGTGTTTCAGAAATGCACCAGACACCAGTCGAGAGAGTGTGTAGAGTACGCTTATTGGCCGATCTACCAAGATTTCTTGTGTCGAAGGACGTAGTAAAAGCAGGAGAACGAAGCTCGAAAAGCGGTAGATTTAAGGAATGCTGTGTTAATTCCATAGGCATCTAAATGAAGTGCCTTCACCTGGGATCTAGGTAACAGCTATGAACAAGTCAAACAAATCGGGAGCAAAGAGAAGAGAATGGATAAAGGGGGCGTCAGCAGCCACTGGCTTTTGCCTATCCGCCCTGCTACATGCGGCGAACAAGGTGGCCCGGCTGATTTCACCACGCGGTCGCCGATGTGACATCAAGGTACTAATATCTGTAAAGTCCATGGTTGTTTGCAGTCTGAGATATTCCCAGTGTTCCCACACGTCCATAGAAGGACGATTGTGATCCTCAACATGTCTTTACCTCAAAAGTCTGAATGCATTGTAGCGGTGGTCGGTTTGGGATTATTCGAGTAGTTCAACTCTATAGGAGCAAATCGCTGTAGTTTTTGTCAAACCCCTATCCGTTGATCGACCCGGCAGGAGAGACTCTAGTGATGTTGCACGGGCATACTCTCTAACACAGCTAACTGGGTCACTGAGGTAGGCAAACTGTCCGACCACGATGAAGTTGAATCTCCTAGCGATGAAGTTATACGCAAGGGATGAATAGCCCCATTTTCATTTCTCCGACCTCGACAGTAGGTACTACAGTGCTCTCCTTCACCCCCACAGGCACGGGAACTCTGAAAAAATGAGACCTACACAAGCACAGTGACCCACCGAGGTCGTTCATCTGTAGCACCCATTCGGTGCCAGTTGCCATGGCACCCGAAGGTTGCACGAGGGCTGGGACACTGCCAGGTGGGAAGTCGAGAGGCAGAGGTCGGGTTTGAAACACGGACCTTCCAGTCAGTATATTCGCGCTCTAACCACTTGGGCCATCTCGACCCACCGAGAACGCAACGAGGAATATATCAAACAATCAGCTCTCAGTGCGAGTTGTTCTTAAGTTACCCGAAAGTTATTCTCGAGCATAATTAACATATTGCGTCCTCAACTGTCCAAGAGATACTCAGGAGAAACAAAAAAGAGAAGTGGAAAAAAATGCCTGGGCTGATGCTCACCTAGCTTGCGCTTGAATGAGGTTTGGCCCTTCTCTTACCTCCAGGTGTGCATTAGCTGCCGGAACAGCGCTCAGGTGAGCACACGAGCCTGGCAAATCTTTCCATCAGGTTGTATAACACACGCTCTTCGCCCATTGCTTGAAGCTCGTTCAGTCAAGTAGGGTGCCCACAGTTCATCTACATTTACGAACTCAATAGGACCTTGAAAATTTATTTCAGCCGATGAGAATTTCTTTGCTGCCTCCGCACCAGTCACATGTGCTCAGGAAGAGGGAGGCTAGCTGGACACGTTCAGATTAGACGCTCGATTTGGTCGGGGCGAGATGGACCAAGGGGTTAGAGCGCGAATGTACTTACCGGAAGGTTCGTGGTTCGAACCCGACCTCTGCCTCTCGACTTCCCGTCTAGACTTGAGCTTCCTGGCAGTATCCCAGCCCACGTGCTTCCTACGGTCGGGTAAATAAGTATTGACCACTTATATCTGACAACGGGCATGTAGGCCATTTGGAAACTCGCCAGTTCCGAATATGCCACTCGTTGTATCGTAAGCGCCACGATCCAATCGACACAAGGAACTCGAGACAGCTAAGTGGTTGAGGCGCGAACGTACTGATACGTGGTTCCAACCCCACCCCAGCATCTCACACTCTCCTATTTAGGCTTGGGCAATCCGGCAGTATCTCAGTCCCACGTGCTTCTGTGCACTAGAGCTGAACGACTAGTTATTATTTGTCTGTGATATTCTTCAAACGAATGTTCAGTTCAAAGGCTTCCTCTGTGTTCATTTGGGTCGAGCTTTAAGTTATTTTCCAGATCAAAGTTATGTCGCAAAACCAGGGCTGGATGATGCACGGAACAGTTCTCTCAGAACGTTGTTTAGTGCACCTTATCCATACTATCAACTTGCTTTGCTGACTACCAAAAAAACGTCGTTAGTACAATCCGAGCAAGATTCCGCGAGGCCTCTCCAAACTTGCAATAACCCACTGGGAGATGCTCGCAGAAACGAGTAATCTCGCTGGAAATTGCTCGCTGTATAAGAATCAACAGCAGTTTAAGACCAGGGTACAACGATGCGTAAAGTATTACCAACAAGATAAACATTTTTACAACCGTTTCCGAAAAGGGTTGAGATTAACCTTTAAGTAGCTTCACCTTGTTTGAAGTGACTGGTAAACAGAGCCGAGGTTCAAACCCCAACTGTGACAGTTCGGCGCGTCGCGCCTAAGAAACAAATTTATTCCAATGCCTACTTGATTTCTCTCAACAACAAGTGTGGCTAGGCACTTATTTTACCAGTCTATTGATTTTTATATCTGTCCCGAACAAGTGGGCATACTGGGTGAGGTGTGCAAACACATTAGTGTAGAAAGCTCGGGCTGTCAGTGAACTTTTCTCCGTTACACGCCCTGAATTCTCAGATAAGGACGTGCTGGGGAGACAATCTAGGCCCAATGAGGTTTACAACGAGAAAAAAACGGAATTACTTCAGCGTTGTGAAAAACGATCAACGATACTTGCCAAGCGCATGCCACCTCATGTTTTAGGCTCACTAACACTGCCCGACTACTGGGAGAATGTAAACGGGAATCCACTGTACAGCAGTAATATATGACAGCGGTCTTGGGAGAATATGTTCTTATGCACGATAAGAGATTTTGATTAGCTGGGAATGATGCAATTGAAATAAAGCGAGCATGCTCAAAAATAGTGCACTGCTATGTTGTTGTACGGACTCCCACTTACAAGCTGACTACATCCCTAAAGGCCCAGTCGTTTGTTGAGGCTAGAGCACCGCAAAAACAGCCACATGAGACCGCGCGCCCACAGAGGAAAATTCCGAGTGGGAAAGCCAGTCGTCTACTCTAATACCGTGACTTTCAAGGAGACGAGACAACTAAAGGTAATTTACGTTTGGCCAATGCGTTGTATCATCATCATCATCATCTTCGACAGCACGGAAATGAGCTATACGAAGTGACTATTAGAGTTTCGCACACCGAGTTTTACCTCTGGAATAAATTACCACACTCAATTGTTAACCCCAATACAATCGAAAAATGTCTGGACTTGTTTTTTGTTGGTGTGTCACTATGGAGACATTCGCTTAGTTCCTCTGGTTGCACAAAATACGTGACAGGTGGATCATAGACATACCGGTAATTGTTGATTTTTCTTACCCGCGTTTCTATTGTTTTTATAATAGATGAAATGTACAGAACAATTCTGCTCTTCTTTCAAAAAATAATACTCAAGTTTTCCTCGTCCGGTAAACTCTTGCATGACTGATGAGCCCTGATAATAACCGAATTCTGTTCCAGTGGTTCCTCTATTTGTATGAAAGCTTCAGAATAATTGCTCCAGAACCGCAACAATACTGTTCAAACGAAAGTGATGTGTACTCTACAACCCCCCCATCCATACACCAGCAATTTAGTCACAACGGCGTTTATAGTGAGCCCGTTGCAATACGTGAGAGAGTCAGTATATTTATGTTCAGCGAGTTAAACAGGAGTTGGGATGAGATGGCCCAAGTGGTTAGAGCGCGAATTTACTGACCGGAAGGTCCGTGGTTCGAACCCGACCTCTGCCACTCGACTTCCCCTGTCTAGGCTTGGGCGACCTGACAGTATCCCAGCCCTCGTGCCTCCTTCGTGTGGCATGGCAGCTAGGCCCCGAAAGGGTGCTACAGCTGAACGACTTCTTATCGAAACTAATTCGATACACTGTCTTAGTGAAACTAGCCGTAATTTTCAGACTCCTGCAATTCGATACACTGTCTTAGTGAAACTAGCCGACGTAATTTTCACAGACTCCTGCAGTTAAAGTCAGAACGGAGCCACAGTTGGGTCTGAGCAACTGGACCGGTTGCTACTAAGTTACTCCTGAGATAACCGAAGGTAACTTCCGTGTATAACGTATTTTCCAGCTGCTGTTTGTAGCCACACTTGGCATGTACGCAAAAGCACGGCCAAACTACTCAGTATGAGATGACCCGCACTTACAATCCGGTGAGCGATGTCGTGCGTGGTGACGAGATTGAGCCTTATCGTGGTGGTCAGGCTTCAGTTCTGCAATGATCCTGAAGAATTCAAGATCCTTGGGAAACCCTGTTCCTAAACGTTCACCAATACTAAAAAGGCCAACAAGGTGTTGCCCGATGAACAGCGAGAATTCATATTACGAGATGGTCTGCAGGTAATGTTGTATTGTCCTAAGCGATGGGAGTGTGAAGGCAGTAGAGCGACTCACTCAGGCGACCGGCATCTCCATATTTTTGGGTGCAGTGATGCTGCTTTCTCCGAGGAAGGACGGGTCAGAAAATGTCGACTCTAAAAAACACACCGATTACCCAACGGTTGGCCATGACCGTGCTCGAAATACGTTTGGAACCAAAGATCTTGTGTTGCTCAAGAGACACCTGCTGTGCGCAGTCGAATCAGGAGTCAGGCAGCAATATCTTACACCATGTGCCCTCCGTCCAAGCCAGCCCATTAGGTCAGAATTGTGAAACATTAACTCGAGGAAGTGTCCCTTAAGGAAACCCCAGCAACCGCTACCTCGCTGTTGATACTTTTGAGTCATAGGCCACCCAAACTCTACATCCTCTCACTGCCTTGTGGGTAAGGCTTTTGAGCCGAAAACTTAAGGTGGAATACCTCAACTAAACCCCATTTTTCGGTCTGGGCAAACGGGAAGTAGCACTTGCTCCTAAACGGTATCGTTCACTGACTTTTACCCACAAGTACTTCACCCCAATCATTCTGAATCACTTAGTTGTCAATCACGTGATCGTTGCCCCGCATCTAAACTTTTGCCCAACAAGATGAACATAAATAAACCCTTATGAAATTCAAAGGGTTTGCTACACATTGCTCCTTTCAACCTGCTTCCTCGGTGTCAAGTTGGGCATCAGAGATCTTGCTCAGAACTCGTCCTCAGTTTCAACCGATATGTTTCCGAAACAAGCATTCAAGATCCCACTCCCGTCATACATCTAGATTTCTCGCACTTTACCCTTCGGTTTCCTGGTGATCCTGATGTAATGGCTTGTGAGCTGTGGTAAGCTCCAGAACCGAATCACACTGACGGACTAGATTCCGGTAAACGGTCGTCCCTGCGCTGTTAGGCTGCCTGGTTCAGGCAAGATCAACATATCTCGACGTCGTATGCAGTGTTTGTTTGTTCTGTCAGAACACACTTCGAACGATGGCAGCTCTGAAGCTGAGGCGCAGTTTGTCACGGTTACTTCGGTCAGCGATAGTATGAATATCGTGATTATGGTAGGTGATATGAACGCACAGGTTCGCCGACTAAGCCCTGATGAAGCCCATCTTGGGGGCCGATCCGGGGGTGACGTCCACCGAACAGATAATCGGGGACGAATTTTCAAATGTGCTTAAAATCACTTGTTTCAGCACAAGCATCACACCCTGAGCCTTGGAGGACGCCAGCTGGAACTTGTGGCACACCCTGAGCCTTGGAGGACGCCAGCTGCGAAGCGGCTGGGGGCTCAGCTGGAACTTGTGACAGTAATTTACCGGTAGACAGTTTCGATACAAGATTGTTGTTCATTTTGGAGTTCACCACTGGATTCCGATCACGGCATTGTGCGGGTACGAGGACCTATTCGCTTTCCCTCTGGTACGCACCCGTTAATGCAAAGATATTCAGTTCGCCATATGCAAGCCGTCTCTGTGGCTCGACAATATCGAGCTGAGTTGGCTGAGAAGTCCCTAGAACTCGACATATGACGATTGCAGAAAGAAAGCGTTCAGCTGTAGCACCCTTCCGGTGCCTAGCTGCCATGTTACCCGAAGGAAGCACGAGGGCTGGGATACCGCCAGGTTGCCCAAGCCTAGACAGGGGAAGTCGAGTGGCGGAGGGCGGATTCGAACCACGGACCTTCCGGTCAGTGAATTCACGCTCTAACCATTTGGGCCGTCTCGCCCCATGCCATGACCACAGCCTTTGAAACCACCTGTTCGAGGTTCTTCACACGCCCTAAATGAACATTGCAACTCGTCACAGCAGCTGACTGAACCGGTGTCTGACTATACCCGCAGCAAACGACTGACATGGCTCACGCGGACCCCTGAAACGCCAAATGATGAAAAGCACGACTGACGGAGAGCGCTGATGGATCTCAAAATAACGGGAAACGGAGGCCTTTGCAACGGAGAACACTTTCCGAGATAATCCGACCAACTGGTTCGACGGTAAATGTTAGTGATACGATTTCCGAAAACGTTGACATCACGAGCAGTTGACAGAAACGTCGTCTTCAACGATGGGTAGGACGTACTGTCAGTTTGCCCGAACCAGTAGCCATCGACAAGGTTATCGTTAGTTTATCCGAACATATGGGTTTTGGAGACATCCCCGCGTTCGTCTCATTACCTTATCGATCGAGAAATTAAATAATGGAGAGAGTGGGCACCCTCACGGACACCGCTTTGTGTTCGGAAGATTTTAGAGAGCTCTCCGTATACTCGCATACATCACATGACCTGTGAATACAAACAACGTATTATGTTCACAGACTTCCGGGTTATTCCTTGACCGGCACGCGTATCAAAGATAGAACAGATCGGTCAACCGAGTTGAATGAAACCTGGAAATCAAGGAATAATAAAATTGTCTTTTGTACGCATAGTGGACCTGATGGAGTGTGAAGATTTGGTCAACGCAAACCCACACAAGACCGGATCCCACTTGGGCGAGTCGACCACATAGGTGCTATAGGCCACGACTAGTAACCGCCTCGAGTGCTAAAAATAACACTAGGACACCGATGTTGTCATTCAAGCGGAGACTTCGAACAGAAAATGCCCGTTAGAGATGGCGCCGTGTGCGACACAGCTGGATGGATTGCGTGAAGAATATGAGCACCGCGGACTTTACTGCAAATGTGAAAACATGCGTTCCTACCTTCTTTTTATCTATAACGTCAAAAGGCGCTGACCTGTTATTTTGAACACGTAATTATGGATGCAAAGATTAAGGTGATCAGTCGGTCGGTTACTGAGTTAATATTCGGGTATCCTCGAATACTTAGCAACACCTTAACGGACCGCCACTGGTCTCCTGATGACGGTACGGTGGCGGTTAGGTGATCGTAGAAAACCAGAGACAAACAAGACAACTAGCTGAAAATACGGAAATACTTCTGAACCAGTTCTCAATAAAGCAGCTACCATCCTAGCCCGTCGGTTCCCGCTGCCTGCCGAGGTACCGACTGCGCACAGTCCCGCAGCCCAGATGTCAGTTCTTTTTAAATCCACCAGAATTTCTTCTACACATCCAGCTGCTTTGGTCTCATTCGACAGCAGTGCCCACACTCCAAAATAAGCGGGTCCCAGGTCTTTACCACCGAAGCGCACAACACTACGCGTCCCATGTCCGCATTTTTAGTCTCAACCTGTCCACGAGGTTGGTTGGCAGCATGTGAAAGGATGAACTCGAATACCACCCTGGCTGGTCTGCCGACAATTTTGGCTTGTAGTTAATGTGACCAAACGGGTGGTTCAAAAATGGTCAGCGACAGCAGTGGCTACGCCCTGCTTTAGGCAACCATCGGCAACACCGATCACGAGTCCGGTGCTGGGACGGAATCACTAGTGCCGGTCTTTCATGAAAACCATCTTACGGTAAGCAGATTGGCAGCACCGAATAACTAGATTTCGAAAGGATAGTCGCACAATGTGCCTTGCAAAGCGAACTACTTTCACCCGACCTTAATTCGTTCACATTGCATGCTCCATCCCATTGGAAGCACGAGTACGATAGATAAATCACGACGCACAAAACAACTGCTGATATATGGGAGGTGAAAGCGGACATAAATCGTGAGTCTTTACTTCGACCACACATCTGCAATCCTTGCACGAGCACCCAGAACTCCCGCACAAACAGCAGCACGCGAACTACGAAAATACTCGGGGCGTAGATTGGTTGTTTCACAACTTATTTGCCACCCAATGAGGGACGTCACCGGCTTCGCTTCGTTATATGCACGGCGTTCCAAAAAATGGAGGGGTTATCACACCTTTCAGCATGCATGGTTTACCGAACCAGGGTAGATTTTTGGTCATTCTACTCTGTGTATATCAGTGACTTCGAAGGAATTGAGATCATTCTTGCAGTTTAGTAAAATGAGAAACACTACGTAACGACCCAGTGAATGAAAGATATACTGTGTCGTGCCAGAACTCCAAATAATGCACCTTAGCTCCCAACCACTCAGTTGTGCATTGATGTCCCCTCGACTGGGGACGAAAGGTCTACAAACTAATTGCTAGGCCAGGCAAACACACCATCGGTTAACTCACCGGAGTTCAAATTGATACAGTGGGTTACGGTGCAGTGCAGACAGCTAACTGTCGACGAGTGCAAGTTTCTCTCTCGTCTTGAGTAATTTCTATTCTGCCTATTCAGTTAGGCCTATCACTGGTAAGGTCTTGCAATCAAATTAGGAATGCGTTTATACACGGCCGTATTTTGCTGCAGAAAAGTCAATTGACGTTCTTAACTTGCTAAGTCAACCCGCAAGCAATTAGGACCAAATTCCAAACAACCTTTTTTACCTCGATGTCTTCGTTTTCTGCTTGGCGATTTTATCAACAGCTAAGTTAGTGACAAGAATAACTAATATTGACAGTTAGACAGGATTTACTGGAACATACATACCTGCCGCAATGCACACAGGCATTAGAGGCTGGTAGTGAGTCTGTCGAAGTGACTACTCTCTATCACAGATGATTCTGTGTTCTTAACCGTTCCCCTTATGCAAAAATGGGAAGGACTAATTTTAGGGACCATTTTCCGCAACCAACCTCGATAGAAGACACGACTCACTGATGTATGCTGGTCCCAGTGTAACCAATATGCTGCCAACGGGGTCCTTAATTCTTTCAACCCGATAACCCATGCTTTGGCAAGCCTGGCGAGCGGAAGACAAGCCGAAATCCATGGTCGCGCGGTACCGACATCTTCAATGCGTAACAAAAGCACGAACAAGTCAAGAGCACCTCGCAACTGACAGACCGATAAAGAGGATAAGTGTAAATCCGAAAACCTGTAGTGATTCAAACTGTACCGAAATACAAAATAACCGAAATCCAAGACTGTAAAGAACGGTGTATATTTGAAAAATGAGTTATTTCTGCGCTGCTTGCTGCTGTAGGGCCAAGCGTTTATCTCTTCGCTTTTTCTCCTTCACAAGCTGATTCAGTACTTTTTGTTCCTCCATCATGAAGGCACGGATAACCCTGAACGAAATTTGTCAATTCGAAAATTAGCCGTACCTGTTGCGGACACATTTGTGACACCTTGTACCTCCATAGGCCCGATTAACTGTCTTCAAGCGCTTGCTCATCGTGCAACGCTCACGTGGTCTTGAAGGCTTTATCCCGGGGAGTTTCGTTTTGCAGTCGCCACATTTGGGAACAGTTCCACGTTTCTTAATGTAAATGTACACAATTCGTCCACCCGGGGTTTTCACCCTAGAAAGAAAGATATCAACAAATAAGTGGATGTAGTGAAACTAACTTCTGTCAGATGAATATGGAATAGAAAAATTTCAGTCTTCTGTAGGCCCAAGACTGAAAACAGGCTGTACCGTCCATTGTCCCTCATGAACTAGCCCAACAAGAGTAATTGGTGGGATTGTGAAAAAATGCGTTACCCAATACATGGAAACATTTATAAACAAAATACTTCATGATCGCTGACACCCCTGGAGACCGAACGATGACTAATGCATTCCTCATCGTCAAAACACCCGAAAACGTCCACCAGAGCTTGTTTTCACTGTTTCTACGTCTACATCTTTCAATCGAATGTCCGTGCTCATGCAGTCATCCTTATCTAGTCACTAGATGTTGTGGAATTCATCGCTCGTTGTCAGTAACCCGTATTTGTAACTCTCTGCACTTCGTCTTCACATGATGCATATGATGGCCAACTATCCAGAAGCCGAGATAAAGCAAAACCTGCGGTTAATCATTTTGTCCAAATGACCATGCTGTTTTGTCGTTCATTCAGCTGTAACACCCTTCCAGTGCCTACCTGTCACACCACCCGAGGGAAGCACGAGGGATGAGATACTACCAGGTTGCCCAAGCCTAGACAGGGGATGTGGATGCAGAGGTCCGGTTAGAACGACGGACCTTCCGGTCAGTAAATTCGCGCTTAGGCTATCTGTCGTTCTTCACATTGGGACCGGAACATGGGGTCTTTTTGATACTCAAGTGAAGTGGAGAAAACAACGCAATTGAGAGAACACTACAGAGCCTTAATATGCCGTAAAAATTCTATGAGGAACAACTGTTGGTCTTCTATGAAGGAAGTTGAGTTTTGACAAATAACCCATAGTAGCAGTTTTAAACAGTACCCAAGAAAGTATTAAGCAAAATTTGAGGTTCAGGCACAAGCACTACATTCTCCGTCTTTCCCGGGACAGAAGTTGCACCTTAGCACCTGGTAGTCATCTGGTTAGGGGTTAAATTCAGGTTGTTGTTGGTGACTTGTAGTCTGTGAATTGGTGTGATAAAGTTAATCGCAATGGCGGAAGTTTTTCACGGCACGGACTGTAAGCTCAAGTGAATAGAACGACCTAAGGGAAGTCTTTGATATGCTGAGCCCCCGAATACGCAGAAACACAGACAAGTCCGATTGACTCAAACTGTTGCTGGGTTTCAGTAGCGAATTGCCCAATTTGGTATTCAGTTATTCGGATGATACAGAGCAGAAGCAAACTAAATACGTATTTGGACATTTGAAGCCACACTTCATTCACACACGCCCAAACACAACACACGTCACCAAAGCTGACGTTTTGAATTTGGCAAAAACCACAGCCCTGAATAAGACCCAGTGCCTTCTTTAGAACATTCAAGTGATGTGTGCACAAAATAGCGAACCACCAGTGCAATTATTGTTCCTCCGTAAACTTGCTCCAATTAAGCAATGGGTGGGAGGGTTAAAAACATGAGCAGAAAAGTCACAAGGCGAAGACTAGCCATTAATCATGAGCTTCTTATGGCACAGGTAGCTAAACTATGACTTCATTCACACACGCCCAAACACACAACACACGTCACCGAAGCTGACGTCTCGAATTTGGCAAACCACAGCCCTGAATAAGACCCAGTGCCTTCTTTAGAACATTCAAGTGATGTGTGCACAAAATAGCGAACCACCAGTGCAATTATTGTTCCTCCGTAAACTTGCTCCAATGAAGCAATGGGTGGGAGGGTTAAAAACATGAGCAGAAAAGTCACAAGGCGAAGACTGGCCATTGTTGAGCTTCGTATAGTACAGGTGGCCGAACGATGACCGCTTCATGGAGAAAGGGTGGATGGTGATTCAAGAAAAGAAGCAAACAGTTTGACGGGTTTCCAGCACATACGCCCATCAGCGGAATTTCAATGGGATCGACACTGGGAAACAGCAGCCTTAATGACGATACGCGTTAGACTGTCGCACACTCGAATGCAACTCGAATGAAGTACGATGACCAGGATACCGCCCAAGCCCAGACAAGGGCCGTCGAAACGCGAACTTTCCTTGGACTGCCTCGAGAGTACCAGCTGACTGAAACAATGTTATCATGAAAGATCTGCAACCAAAGATACGACTGTCTTGAGTCGTTCGTTGGCACAGTAACAGATCAGTGACCTTTAGACACGTTTCCATTCAGGACCGCACTCACCTGTTTGGAGTACTTTAAATCCGAGGTGCATTTCGTTGGTTGACTCTGGACTCATAAACATACCAACACGTAAACTCATTCAAACCGCTTTGAGAGCGAGACGCGCAACCTGACAGTCACTGCGAAGCAGATGCCATTCCGAGTAACTAGACTATACATGCTCAGGACAAACTGATGGCAGCGGCGTACACGAATGACCAGTAATATGCGAAAAATAGTTAGATATCAGTACAGAAAATTTCTGTTCTGAAGATTACCACGGCCGCAAGGCTGTGGTCAGTACAGAACACAAAATTTATCCCCAACCAGCACGTCCAAAAAAGGCAATTACTGGTACGGGACAAAATGCTCCACATCATTACAAACTTTCCCGACATCAACGACGTAATCGTGTGTACAAAACATCGAGAATGGATAAAGATTCCAATTGTGAATACTGGCATTTAACTTCAACAACTTTGAAGAATGCCTTCGATCAAAAAGAAACAGGAACGTTAAATAGCTGACGCGGGAAGCCCAAAGACGGTAGGACAATGTTAATGAGAAATGTGTAATGGAAAGTGTTGATCATTCAGCTGTAGCACCCTTTCGGCGCCTAAATGACATGCTACCAGAAGGAAGCACGAGGGCTGGGATATTGTCAGGTTGCCTAACCCTAGACAGGAAAAGTCGAGAGGCAGAGGTCGGGTACCAACTACGGACCTTCCGGTCGGTAAACGCATGCTCTAACCACTGGGGCATCTCGCCTTGAATGACGTAAAATCAGCCTTCAGCAGTAAACATAAATGGGCGCACCGCAGAAGCTGAAATGTAACTGCACATTAGAGTAAATTGTCCTTAACGGAACACTTTCGGAGGACTGCGTCCTCGGTGGAAAAGCCAGTCACCGCACTCTGGTGTTTCATCTGCTAAACATTGACAGGCACATAGCAGTCATGTACAGATAGGAAGTAAAAAGCTTAAATGGCCAAGTTCCAGGGTCTCATGTCGAAATTGTGGGTTACTGTGAAGGGCCGTGTCAAGGATAAGCATCGGGACCACCACGATGGCAAAAGCCGATTCACCAAAGAGCGATTACACTCAGGCTTCGATAATCTTATGGAACACTGGAGTGAGTTATTGTTGAACGCTGCAATAGTCTTAACAACAACTGATTACCTAAAAAAACAGAAAGAACTATCGCCCTGAATAATATAGGCTCATCCGTGCACTCACCTATACCCTAAAGCCAACTCAACAATCCGGATGACATTCCGAGTAACCACGTATGCCAAGTCCTCCAAGCCTCACGAGGGTCGTAGCTTACCAGTTGCTCCCACAATTTCTTTGAATTTAACCAAAAACTCATCATTATTGACAGCATGACATCAGTGTTCAACACCGATGCTTCGTCGCCGATTCCGGAAACTAACATAGACATGCTCGCGCCATTTTGCTTGCGCATTAAGTAACAGCTTCTGTTAGCAATAACTGACAATGATATTAGATGGTAGGCACCCTCCGTGTTCAACAACTAACCCCGGAAGCACAATTAGGCGTTAGGACTGGAGTTCATGCTCGGCGAAAGGTTGGTTGGGATCAACTGCTTCATTTGTGTTGAACATTGATTGTGTGAACTTGGAGGCTACCAACTGTAAGCCAACCACGGACTAAGTTGGATAATATGGCCGTCAGCTACTTATGGAGCCTCAATTAGACTGGTACTCCTGGAGTACGTCACTTGACTCCGATCACGATGTTATGCCGCCCGGCAACCATTCCGCTTTCCGTCAGCATCACGGGCGTCGGCGTAAGCAATTCCGTTCACCAATTTCGACAAGCTACGGTAGCTCAAGAGTATCCGGCTGACCAGGTTTAAAAGTTACTAGAAACGCAGTCATGTTAGTGAGGGTTAGTTAGAGGCTGCATAGTAACTTTCAAAACCGCCTATCCAAGCCACCCCGCTTCCCGACTGATGACATGGCTGTGGTTAGAACGCGGATTTACTAACCAGGTGATCCGTTGTTCGAACCCAACCTCTGCATCTGCACGTCTCTTGTCTAGCCTTTGGCAACCTGCCAGTATCCCAGCCCTCGTGCTTCCTCTAAGTGGCATGGTAGCTAGTCGCCGAAATAATGCTACAACTGAATGATTATCTAATTATCTTTTACTCGTCTGAATGAACACTGCATATCGTCGAGATCACGTCTGTGCTCCTAGAAAAGCCACACCGACAACCAGCGACTACGATGGCGCGCACAGATCCCTCAAACGCCAGAAAATCAAGAGGCTGAAGAGTGAAGAACACTGGTGGATTGTGGACGTCCAGAGGATGCGGAGGCCCTTCATTGCAGCCAAAGGCCGCCACCTGCTTTCGTTCATTCAAGACTAGTGTCCACACAACAACCTGTGAAAACCGCCTTGAGCGCAGTCTCTGTAGGAAATTGAGCTGGAATGGGGTACCGACATCGTCCCGCCGTCGAAAACAGAAATCCAGCGTGACACACCGTTCCCCCTACGTGACACAGGACTCAGCCCAGTTGGACTTCACACCAAGCCTTTTAATAATGAAACACTTGAGGAGCCTGATGACCATACTGCAAAATATTGAGGATGAAAACAGAATAGTAGTGTGTTGGAGTGTCTCAGCGGTGGTTCGTTTTCAAAAAGGGCACAGGATCAGGTGAAAGCCATCGTCATATAATCTTGATGTGCGTCGCACCTAAGGTCTGGTATTATTTTGATTCATTATTGAGATACAAGCTCTTAAGAATCAAGTTGGGTTTTGCCGTGACCGAGGATGCATCGATCATTCCATTTACCTACAGACAAGTTCTTGAGAAGTGTCAAAGCGGGCACATGTACATACCAAGCTTTCACATGAATTCACCATATGCAAAATGTAAGACAAGGCTGCCTTTTCTCACCAGCTTTGTTACTGGCGTGCTGCATGAAATTCTCCCATCAACCATTGAGCCTTGGAATCGAAATGCTCCTGGGACGTTCGCTCGGAGTATATGGACGAAACGAAAACTACTTCAAATTCTGACGCATGATTTAGTACGGCTTCACACCT